TGAAGAACAAAACGACAGCAACTTCTCTGTTCCCCTTCCCCCAATTCCCCAGCACTGTTCCCATCCCCCAATTCCCCAATAAAAATCTTAAAAAAAAAAGAGTGTCTGGCACATAGTAATTGTTCATTGAACTTTAGCCATTATTAAGGGAGGAAGGGTGGCTAATTGCAACATTATCTTTCCAGGTCTAAACTGTTGCTATATAATTCACTAGCACCTGTATGGAAGTTGGAGGCCAGACTCTTGTCAGCTAAAGAGTGAGGTCTATAGCAACCTCTGATAAACATGCATAGACACACACTTCGGCCACACCACTTTTTCCCAGATTCCCCTCACCCTTAGGTGATCCAGAGACACTTTAGGAAAATAAATACAATCACCACCTTAAGTAGACAAGTTGAGTATTTAAAAGGCACTTCATCAACGTAGGGAAGGTTACCATACCACAACTCTCAGAAGGGATTTAAAGTAGAGACTAGCCCAAGGGAGGTGCCAGGTGAAATTGAGGTTTAAATGAACTAGAAGGGGAGATCACTAATGATGTAGGCAGCTGGATGGGTGTGTGTGGAAAGAGTGCGCTCCACAGAAGGGCAGCTAAACTCTGGGCCCACATTCCCTGGAGTACAGCCTGCTCTCTGGTTTTCCTCACTGCATTACCTCTTTTCCACTCAGGCCTTCCCCTCCTCCCGCCCTGCAGCTCCAGACCCCTGTTCCCAAGAATACAAACACCCCAGATTATAGGGGCTTTTCATTTGCTGTTCCCTCAGAATAGTTGGCATGGAGACTAGAAAGAAGTTCTCGTCCGCATGGTTGCATAACGTTGTCGTTGAGTCGGAGCTTGTGCAATCTCCTTTGGAAAAATGTAAGGGCTGAAGATGGATAGCTGTCTGTTTAAGGTACAGTATTGCCTGCAGGGAAGAGGATGAACTAATGAGATTCCCTCTAATGGAAGGATCCTAAACCTCTCTCTTTTATATTTTTTCTCACTCTGGACTTCTTTTGGCAAAGAATGAACGTGGTCAAGGAAGGTGGGCATTGCTTACAGCAAGTTCTGATGTCCCCTGTTTGTTTGCCAAGGGATTTGGGTCAGCTTTTTTTTTCAGTGTGATAATTGAGGTACAAAGGATAACTGTGCTTTTCCCAACATCACTTGGTAACTGTGAAGCTCTTTGAAGAGCAAAAAGGTGTGTGTGTGTGTGTGTGTGTGTGTGTGTGTGTGTGTGTGTGTGTGTGTGCACCCACACCCACATGCACAGGCACCAGCTGGTAACAGCTGTCATTGTTATTACTGCAAAGGATTTAATTAGCCCAGTACCCTCTATCGCCTCTCTCCACCCTGTCACATTTTTCTCTTTAAAAATGCGCCCTGCGTATCCACACTTCATTGTGACTTTAACTTGAACAAGTCTTTTAGGGCTATTTGATTTTAAGCCTTACCCCTTTACTTATCTGTATATTCAACTTCTCATTTTCCATGAAATCCCCCCCGACCCCTGGCTGTAAACACACTCTAACAAACAAACAGATCCGTCTTTGACACTGCAGTGCCCACCAGCTACAACACTCCTTTCTTAGACAAACTTCTCAAAAGAACAATCTCTACTAAATGTTTCCACTTCTGCCCCGGTTTAGTTCTCAGTGTCCTACCATCTGGGTTCTATCTCCAGTACTCTACTGAAACTGTTCTCATTTAGGTCATTGTCAAATCTAGTGGACGTCACTCAGGCCTTATCTTACTTGACTGTTCTACTGTATTAAAACGCTGTTAACCACATACTTGCTCCATTTGGAAACGTTTTTTATTCCTCTCCTTCAGCTCACTCTTGTCTCCTGGTTCTCCTTCTCCTTCCTTCTCTCTTTCACAGGCTTCTCTTCCTGGTCCTGCCCTGTAATTGCCTTTTCTCAAAGGGAAATCATTTTATTTCTTTAATTAAAACAACAACAAAAATTATGTTCACTGTTCTAAAAATCCTAAATAAAAACAAAAAATCCAACTGAAACCCCACCACAGAGGTAACTACTGCTAACATGTTGATTTATATCCACCTAGTCTTCAAAAATTATTGTATGTAGATATATCATGTTCAGTAATACAAATGGTATCATGTTATGTTATTTTTACCTGCTTTTTTTCACTTTTTTGTGGGCATCATTCCACATTAATGAGCATAGAACATTATTTTATTTAATTTTTTTTAAAGATTTTTTACTGGGGAATTAGGGGAGGAGAGCAGTGTTGGGGAATCGGGGAAGTGAAACAGACAAGTTGCTGTCCTTTCGTTCTTCAGTCTAGTTGTGGAGGACATTGCTTCACTGGCCCATGTTGGTATTGTGATCATTGCGCTGTTCCCAGGTGAGGCAGATTGGTCGCCGGCATCTGGACTGCCGCTCACAGTGGCTCTTGGCAGCTCATGCCAGCTGCCGGGCCTCTCACGCTGACTGCCGGCCACACACGGTAGCTTACGGCAGCCCACTGCAGCAGGGACTGCAGCCTACGCCGTCGCCGGCGACTCACAGCAGCCCAGCTCCAGGTTGAGCTGTTGTTCACCATCTTAGCTGTAGAGGGGGCAGTGTCACTGGCCCTCATGTGGGATCCGACCCGGGGCCCTGCTGCTCAGAGCTGGCGTCCCAAGCCAGCTCTTAACCAATGCGCCACTCGGCCGGCCCAGCCTAGAACATTAGTTTAAATGGACACATAGGAGAACCTTAAATTTGGCCATTTACACAAGAGACTGAGTTTTATGATGGAAGTGACTGAGATACAAAGCCTGTAAGGTATAGAACCTAGTACTCCTTTGTAAGATTTGTCGTATAAACAAATTCACAAATGAGAAAAAAATGGCTACAAAAATATTCCATTGTATAAAATGAACAGTTATTTACTTGTAAAGATAAGATACGTATTCTGGTATCTTCATGTGAGTATCTGATTATTTTCTCAGGGTAAATTATTGGAAGTGAAATTTTTGAGTCAAAAGTTTTGATAAAAGTAAAAAATGTTTTTAAAATACAAAAGTACTTAAATGAGAAGAAAATGAAAACAAATTCTCCCTGCCATCCCTGACTCCAGTTCTCCGGTTCTGCTCTCCAGAGACAACCACTATTATAAGTGTCTTGAGGTCACAGGTTTTTATTTTATTTTATTTATAATACATACTGCCCTTTCACTCCCCAGAAAGACTGCATAGATCTACACTCTCAGCAACCCCGCCTGCCTTCACCAATTTGAAATCTCCTCTGCTTGCCTCTTCACATTTTTCCTTCCACACATGCTAATCTCTCAAATCTCTATCTAACCCTGGTCACACCCTAGAGCTCCGGGCCAGTATTTCCAGCTGCCTGCTGGACATCTCCACGTGGATGTCCTAGAGACATCCCAGGTTTCTCCAAACTGAGCTCATTGTCTTCCCTCCCAAAGTTACTTTTCTTTCTGTAATTCCAATGTTGCTTGGTGGTATCAGCGTCCACCTAGTTACCAAAATAAAAAATGTAGGAGTCATTTTCAATGTCCTCCTTCCCCCTCAAATAGTAATAATAGCTAATAGTTACTGAACATTTACTATTTGCACATATTTTATTTCATTGAATTCTCACAAAAGCTCCAGAGGTAGGTCTTAGTCTTATTATTTTCATTTCACAGATGAGGGAAACTGTTTGGGTAACTTGCTCACCATTCTATGGCTAGGAAGTAGGGCTTTTAAACCCAGGCAGCCTAAATGCATCACTCCCATGCTTTATTTATCCCTGTACTACTTACTGCCACTCTATCTAATCAGACACAAGTCCTATCTACTTTAATTCTTCCATCTCAGTCCCATCTCTTCCCTTTTCTCTATTCCCACCACACAGCCTGATTCCAAGTGTTATTGGCAATACTCTCGTAATTAGTCACATTCGACTCAAATATATCTTCCATGTTACCTGCAAAATAATCCTCGTAAAACACAGATCTGATCATGTCTTTTTCCTGCTGAAGATGCTTCAGTGGCCTACATCATAAAGCCAGAGCTTAATATAGAAGGATCACCCTCATCTGCCCATCTCCAGCCAGCCTGTCTCTCTTTCTCTCAGCACTTCCATTACACACTATTTGAATTGGTAATTGCTTAAAAATATCATGCTGTATCTTATTGGGATAACTTTGCATATGTTATTCCTTCTGCAAAACATTACCTTTCCCCATTTCCACTCCTACTTGTCCTTTACGTGTTTTCATGACTGTCAAACTCAGATGATTTCTCCTCCAGGAAGCCTTCCCTAATTTGCCCCGCTATTCATGTCCTATGTGCTGCTTTGAACATGTCACATTATAGTCATTTTATGTACCTGTCTCCCTTTCTACAATGTTAACTCCTTGAGGGTAGTGACTCTCTTATTCAAATCTGGGGTTTTAGTGTTTAGCACGTTGCCTGGCATATAAGTAGTTGCTTAGTAGATATCGGTTATATGGAATTAAATAACTTAACTCTGAAATTATAGAGCTTGTACTGTGTTGAAAGAATTTCAGCTATCAGCGATATGGGAAATATGTTTTTAGCAGAAGGCGGGTGTGGGGAGGAAAACAGGATGACTTAAAACCACCCTTCATGTGGGCCATGTGTAAATTACTCATACATTCATGTTTCTATAGACATTCTCACGTAAACATATATTCTATCTCCATTTCGGGCTGCAGGTAACCTCAGAGTAGTGCTAAGTATGGAGTTCTGCAGAGTCGAGATAGAAGGTATGAAGTTAATGCCCTCGCTTTGCTGTATTTGAGTACACCTTGGCTTCACTTTTATGCGGCCACACGTGGAGGATGAAGACATGCCCAAATTTTCCCAAAAAGTGAGACTGAGAAGTCATCTTTGTGACCCCATCCTCGCTGTTTTCGTGGCACCATACTGTGCTGAGTGCTCAGTTGCATGTGAAATGAATTGAAACTATCAGTGGCACGAGTGGTAGGGCTGCATTCTAGGTTCTCAGTGCCATTGTTGGAACCCCACCCTTCGGAGGCCACCCTTCTGTTTTCGCGCAAACCCTGACTTATTCAGGTCCCGGGGCTTCGGCCTATCGCTGTAGGACCCCAGCGCGCGGGGCAGTGCCCACTCCTGACTGCTACACGGTGTAAGACTGTCTCTTGGGTTGAGGAGCAGTGATTGGTGGGTCCCGCTGGAGTGCTTCCCGGGATACGGGGAGCACGTACGGGGATGCAGGCTCCGGGGCGGCCACAAGCACCGCCCGGAAGCCTGAATGAGGCCTCCTGGCACGGGACTCCCAGCCGGCAGCGTGGCCGCTATACAGGGTGCTGGGCCCGGAGCCGGGGCGCCGTGCGTGCGCGTGCGTGCGTGCGTGGGCGCGCGTGCGCGGCGCCGCAGTCTGTAGGTTGGCTGGCTATTTTGCAAGCGGGAGGGGTCGCGCGCGTTCCTGCCTCCGGCCTCTGTCCCCCCACCCCCCCCTTCCCCGGTCCCGGCCTCGGTCTCTCCTTCGGAAAGATGTCGGACACGGCCGTAGCTGACACTCGACGCCTCAACTCGAAGCCGCAGGACCTGACTGACGCTTACGGGCCGCCAAGTAACTTCCTGGAGATCGACATCTTTAATCCACAGACGGTGGGCGTGGGCCGCGCGCGCTTCACCACCTATGAGGTTCGCATGCGGGTGAGTCACGGGGTGAGGGAGACAGCTGAGGGAGGACCTGGCGGCGGGCCGGGAAGGGCGGGGGGGGTTGCCACAGGAGCGACAAACAGTGGAGAAGATGCTTGAGGGGGCCTTTGGGGGTTTGGGGCTGAATAGGTTTGGGGAGAGGTCTGCAGACTCGGTTGTGGCCCGAGGGTACAGAAAACTCCTGAGGGGGACGTCAGACCGGGTGAGGGCAAACAAGTCCCCGTGAGCAATGAGTGAAGCATGGCCTGATAGGGTGGGGACGATGGAGAAGACCGGAGGAAGGAATTCAAGGAAATACTGTGGCCACACCAGAAGGAGTGAAGAGAGAGTGGGGAGAGGGCTGGGGGATGGAAAGCCAGGGCGAGATGTCGCGGGGGGGCCCCTAACTAAATCGACCGGTGGGAAGTCACTCTGAAGAGGCCAGGAAGGCCTGACTTCTTCCACGGGGGACTCCCTAGGATGATGGAGTCAGGCAAAGCCTGATTGAAGGGAAGGAAGGTAGACTCCAGGAAAGGCCGACAGTGGGCTCGGTGGAGTGAAATCAGAAAGGGAGGCTCCTGGAGACTGCTTCCCAGGCTGGTGTAGAATTAGCATCTGAAGGCGATTAAGTGTTTTCTGCTTAAGTTTTCTCAGGTACCACACATGCTGTGTCTCACTGTGAAACCAGGCCTTCCACTGCCATTGGTGGATTGTCAGTCGCTGCTCTCTCATCCTGTGCTTATCCTGTAGATTCCGAGTATCCAGAATGCTTATTTCAATATTTATTGGCTCTCATTTGGGTTTTCTGCACATAAGCGGCCATAGCCCCTTTCTGTCTTAGATTAACCATTTGGATTTAGACCCTGGTCTCTAGTTACTTTAATACGTGACATGTCAGGACTGCCCCAGGACTGGCTTCTTCCAGTGTACACTACAGAGGACTTTATTCTCTAGTTCTTAGTCCACAATGCGAGGATGGAATGTGCAGACAGTGTACATGGTGGCTTGCAGGTTCTTTTGCCCAGTCGAAGTGGTTATGGGCAAAAAAGTTTGAGAACCATTTTCTAATTTTCCTTATGTTTTCTTCTCAGACTAGAGGGCCAGAATATTCTCTGTGGACAGCATGCTGCTCAAACAGCATTTGAAGACCTAAAAGAGTGTATGTGCTTTCATTTTTGAATGAATGAATGAATGAATGAATGAGAGCATGTGCTCCTACCTGGGCATTGAAATCTAATTGCGAAATAATGGTCTCCAAATTCCAAGTTTAGCAAACCCCAACCTGAACAAAGAAAAGCGAATAGGAAATAGATGAGAAAAACTCATCTATTACAGATAAGAACCGTTTGAAATCATCTCTTTGAGGAAGAATGGAAGTTAGATCCCTCAAAATATCATAAAACCTGGGAACTGATTGTGGTACAGAACGTAATTACCTGAGGAGGCCTGGCCATACTTGTTCAGTGTAAGGACTCTGCTGTGAGGGTTTTGGGGACATTAGCCAAGGACCTTAGGGATTATGAATGAAATTGCTCTCTACTTCAGGCATTCTAATAACAGTGGCTACTGTGTGCCAGGCACTGAACTGGGTTTTAGTTCCTAAACCCTTACAAAAACGCCATTTCACAGGTAGGAAACTGAAGAGAAATTCATTTTCACAAACTTGCCCAAGTACACGGAGCTAATGAGTGGCGGGGCTGGGGTTTGAACCCAGGCCTGTCTGACTCCAAAGCCCATCATACTCTTTCCACTACAGTCTCTCTGGCAATGCCAGTTGCAGAACTTCAGTGTATAAAATTTTTCTGCCCACTGGGCTTTTCATCAGTCCTTTTCCACAATTTCTAATTGCATAGTGATGACAGGGTTGGTGGCAGTTCCTGGTTCCTTGGGTTTGGAGTTCATTTGTATTGTTTATGTTCGTATGTATAGCTGTATAGGCTTTTAACATTTTTGTTGAACTCTTGTTTTGGGGAAAAATTGGTGACAATCATTTGGTTTTAAATTGCTTTAAGTGGTCATAGTAGGCATTATAGGGAGCATGAGATTCAGAGAATGGGCTTTGGGAGGCAGCCATTGTGAATGGTAGAAGCAGATGGCACTGCCTTTTTTTCTTTGTATAATAGTTATTTCTGAAGCTGTTCTCTTTCATTTTGCTCAGGAAAGAATTCTCCCCCTCCCATGCCCCCAGGAAATGAGTCTGGAGAGGTGTCCTGGTGACTTCACATGATGTGTATGGACATTTTCAAATGTCAGTTGTCTGTTGGACTTGAACTTTGCTTCTTCTCTCCTTTCCCTTGACTTTTGTGTTGGTCAGAGCCCAAGGACTCTATATGCTGTACTATACAATGCTGTCTTCCTCATACGATTTGTAGGTTGGAGCTGGGAGACTCTCCTAGTACATAGTAGCCCCTTCCTTAGATGGCTAGGTGCTGAGCTGAAAGGCCATTAACTGTCAGCATCCTGTGCGGGTAGGGAAAGAATCAAGAATCGCATTTTTGTGAGTCAAAGGAGGAAGTTTACAGAATGGTGGCGGGTGGTTTCCTTGTGTCTTGGAAGAAACCACTCAGCATTTTTTTCTTTTCCTTGGTCCTTCTGTTGGCTTTTGTAAAGCCTACTAGTTAAGGTTCTACTGTTGGGGGATCACAATATTTGTAATGAACTGTGGTGGAAGCCTAGAATCACATGACACCAAAGGGCTTTTTTTCTTGCAGGATTATTTTCCCCCTGACCCCCAGCTTTATTGAGAGATAATTAATGTGTAACATTGTGTAAGTTTAAGGTGGGCAATGTGACGACTTGATACACATCTATATTTCTTGCAGGATTCTGAGAACATTCTCTGTAATGCTTTTTCTTGAATAGTTAATACATGTACGTGGTACAAAATTCAAAAGGAGCAAAAAAGATGTACGGTAAAAATTAAGTCTCCCTCCCTGTGCCCTCCAGAGGTTCCTCTTTCTGAAGAAACCACTGTTTTCAGTTTCTTATTCTTCTAAAGAACAGTTTAGATAATAAAATATTACTTTCCATGTATCTCACTCCACTTAACCCACTGACATTCCTCAGACCTCAGTCCTGGGTAGCATTGTAACTAACGTAAGAAGTTGGCCAGTTATTTGGCTTCTGATGACTTAGACCTGGATCCTGACAAGACAGTTTCCAGACTTGAGGACTACAAAGCGCGATGTGGTAAGGACTGTGTGAAGCTCTAGCACAGCTCCTAGATGCTTTATTCCTGCCCCGAGGCAGTTGTGGAGAAAGGAGAGGGACTAGTTCCTTTTATTTCCATCTGCTGATCCAAATTGGCTGATAGGAAGTACAGTCAGCACTAATGCATGTGGTTGGCCATTTCTATTCAGAACTCATAGACAAGAGTGAGGATCAGGGCTTTTGTTTGTTGGGAATTCATGTTGCCATTAGAGTCTTGGGAAAACTCTCAGTGACTAAGATGTGGGAATCAGCTGGTTTATATCAGGGAACAAGCTACACTAAGCCAACCTAATGTATTACAATTGCTGTTTCTGCTCCACTTTCAGGATCAGGACAGGGTAAACAGATACAAAGGGCCTCTGTGAATCAGTTGAGTATTTATTGAGTAACTTGCATAGTCTGCATTTAGGGGGATGCAGAAGTAGTCGTGGCTCCCGGTTGCAGCGACATCATCGTTTGTTAGGCAGCAGGACTAACAGGATGCGTAAAACAATAGTGTGTCAGGGCAATACTAAAGTATAACTCTCCTAGGCGTTCAGAAGCGAGGGAGACCAATAAATTAAGTTGGTGTTTGCCAGGAAAAATTTCCTGGAGGAAGTGGGACGTGAGCTGGCATTTGTAGAATGGAGAGGATTTGGGCAAGAAAAGCAGAGGCAGCCATACCTTGGAGATGTGTATGTCTTCTTTACAGGGAACTTAAATTCACTTTTCAATTAAAAATGTAATATAGGCACATGATACACTCAAATTGTACAATGAAAAATGTGACCCTCCCACCCTTCCCAGTTGTCTGATCTTATTCTCCAAAGTTACTCACTGTTACCAGTACCTTTTCATAAATACTTTACTCATAAATATGTACACATATACATACCCCTTTTGAAAGACAAAGAGAGGCAAGCTGTTCTGTACTGTTGTGATTTTAATGCTTAACATATTTCTATACTGGCACGTATATATCTTTGACATTCTTTTCACAGTTGTATAGTATTCCACTGTACAGGCATACTGTATTTATTTAAGGAATTACCTATTGATGGACATTTATTACAAATGATAAAGTGCAGTGAAAACCCTTGTACATACATATTTACATACAAGTTCAGGTGTGTTTGTAGGAAACATTCTAAGCAACAGGGGACCTCCAATGAACTGCGACAAGGCTGGATGTGGTAAGGACTGGTATTCACCCGGTGGTGTTTTGAAGGGGTTGTAGGAGCTACTTCTTCACTGGGACCTGTCCGTGTGGTTCTGACAGGTGGCCACCACAGGCCGAACATTCCTTACCACGTCTCTTCTCTCCTTCCTCCTTCCCTGTAGACAAACCTGCCTATCTTCAAGCTGAAGGAGTCCTGCGTACGGCGGCGCTACAGTGACTTTGAGTGGCTCAAAAATGAGCTGGAGCGAGATAGTAAGGTATGCTCCCGCCTCCTGTGTGGCCCCTTGGAGGAGGACAGGCTACATGGGCTGACAGGGCATGAGAGCAGAGTCTATAAACTCTATAAGGCGATGGAGAGGGTGAACACAGTCTGCCTATCAAATCCCAGTACATTGTGTCTGGGTGGGAACCTTTGGAACTGGAAAGTGGTGGTAAGTTCAAGACAAAGCATGACTTGACTTAGTGGCTAGTAAAGTCATATAGCTTAGCCTGTGTAGGTGCTAAACATGGAAAGTACAGTGTCAGGAAAGGCCCAACTCGGTTCTTGGGTGGTAGTGGAGTTTTAACGAGAGTGAGGACTGTTTGCATTTTCTTTCCTGTCTTTTGAGATGGTAAGCCTGTCCTCCCACAGAAACACTTGGGTTGGTTTCAGAGCGGGGCCGTCCTGACCGTTTTTTATGGTCGCTTCTTGCAAGTTGCTGGCTGTGGGACAATGGACCGTGTGCCTTAGGCAATGAGGCACACAGGGTTGACCACCGCCTCCCCTGTCAGCTCTCCCGAGCGGCTGCCATTTTGCGTCTGCCTGCAGATTGTAGTACCACCACTGCCTGGGAAGGCCTTAAAGCGGCAGCTCCCTTTTCGAGGAGACGAAGGCATCTTTGAGGAGTCGTTCATCGAAGAAAGGAGGCAGGGCCTTGAACAGTTTATTAACAAGTAAGCCAAGTTTCTGGGGGCTCCTCTTGCTACTTTGTCCATCGTGGGTCTCCTGGGTGTGTCGTCGCCTGTCTCCTCTTCTGTAATGGGTAATGTCATGTGGTGCCGATTGTGTGGTGGGCTGACTGGACAGTCAGACTCCACTCCTTCGCGCAGAAGCTGGGAAGGCGCTGCAGGTTGGGTGTGTCTAGGCCTCTCCCCGCCTCACCCCTGGAGCCACCTTTCCTGTTACACTGTCAGTGTTGATGTGACGCCCTGCTGCTGTCCTCTGCCTGCTTGGACCTCAGGGATGACCTCGGCCTTCTTCTCCTGTCCACAGCCCCGCCCCTCTATGAGTTCCCCTTGATCTTGACTACTCCTGCTAACCATGTTGACCCCTTTACAGAATCGCTGGGCACCCACTCGCTCAGAACGAACGCTGCCTACACATGTTCCTGCAGGAGGAGGCCATTGACAGGAGCTACGTCCCCGGGAAGGTGCGCCAGTAGGAGCCCCCCTCCCCACTTGCCCTCTGAACTCCTGCTGAAATAACATTGGTTTTTACACTAAGCCTCTCTCTCTGTTTGATCTGAAGTCGGCTGCCCATCCCCTGGTCTGGCACGCTGTCTGCCATTGTGTTCCTTGGTACCTGACTCTACCATGGGCACTCTGCTAGGGTTTTTCTCCCTGAGGAGGGGCGGGAAACCACAGGCAGATTCCCTTTGCTTGGGGTTGGGGGGTGGGTGGGAGGACTGGCCTGGAAGGCAGTTTCTTGGGGCTTACCCATGCCAGGAGGCTAAGCTGGGGGTGGGGGGCGGGCCTGGTGCTGGCGAGGCACTTGGCTACAAACCGATGCCGCAAGTCCAGGGGATTTTTCTTACTCTTACGTTTAACCAGGAACGATGAGCAGGGAACAGCCCTGCCTTTCCTACCTGCATGAACTTTTTCCTTCTTGGGAGGGTGGTAGAGACCCGAAATCTCTCCTTGTTTTCTCTAGGCCTGCTCCCAGTTTTGTCAAGAGTTTCCCTTGTTACTTTCTCTCTCCCTTGATGCTTTTCATGGCAGTAACCCCCCTAGCGTCCAAGCAGTCTGTTGTGTGGAGCACGGTGTGTGGGTTTTCTGGGCTCCCCGTCATGGCTGCCTCTGAGGCCGAAGGAAGCTGTAGGGCAGTAGGGCTCCTAGCAGGTGAGTCAGTCTGAGCCTGCAGTTCCCACTCCCCAAGCCCTGGCTACCTATGGGTTAGCTTTGCAGTTGGTGGCTTGAGGGCTGGGGGCAGCTCCCTGAAGGTGGGAATGGGTCGCTTTCTAGGTACTTCCATTCTCCCTTTCCCTCTCCCAGTTAGTGCTGCCACAGGGCAGATGCACATGTGCAAACCACACAGCGGGGCTCTGGGGAAAGAGTCAAGGCTGCCCTCGCTCCCCGGGGTTATGGGAGTGCCCACACTCGTTTCCCACGGAACTCCAGCACTGTCCCTAGGAGCTGAGTTAGGGCTAGCGGCTGGGTATGGATTTCCTGGACCTTATGGTCTCAGGCAGCTTCTTGAGGCTGCCAACTTTCCTGGGCTTGTCTGGGAGGTAGCGGTTGATTTGCTGGGGCCCGCCACCTGGTCCAGGAGGTGGGCTGGGAGGAAGTTAACTTTGGAGGCAGGTTAGAAGTGGGGCTCTGCTTGGCCTCTCTCTGACTCAAGGATTGCAGTTCTCTATCCAGGGTCTTGGGGCAAAGGATTACCCATTCTGATAGGACAAGACCCTCATGGGATAGACCAGCACCTGGGTTTGGACTCCACGTCAGTGTTGATATCCCCTGGCACAGATCAGTGGTCCAGCTGCCGAGCCTGTGCCAGGGGCCCTGCTCCCTTTTCCACCCCCCTAACGTTGGTGTCGTTGCTGCCTTTTGGATTTGTATCCTCTGTTGTTGACTTTTTTTTAGACATTCCTTCTTTGATTGTGCATAAGTGCTGAGAGCCTGAGGCCCCATTTCTGCTGTGTATATATCCTGACTCGGGGCTTTGATTCAGCAGATATTCATTCTTCTGTCAGACGATGTCATATTCAACTCTGTTCATATTAAACCACTGTGAAGCACGCCTCTGTTGTCCTGTACTTTTTAGTGTCTAGGATATTCTGGGTATAGTGCAGAAATCATAAAACATGGTCAGCGTCCTGAGGTGATAAGTCAGTTTTGCACTTCAATTTCTAAAGAAAGCAGAACTCTAGCTGCCTGCAGTGCTCTTTGCCTATACTTGTCACTGGCAGTTGACTTTGCATGCAAGTAATGCACTACTTGTAGCGAGTAGCCATAGGGCTCAGTACCTGTGGTTTGCGTCGGGTTTAGCAGATTTGGTTTCTAAGCTTGTGGGCTTGTGCTAATTTGGGTGGAATGGATTATGTGTGTGTGTGTGTGTGTGTGTGTGTGTGTGTGTGTGTACGTGTACGTGTATGTGTGTTCGTGTGCTGTATGTTACGTAAACACGTGTGCACTTGTGTTCCTGCACCAAGACATCCACACTCCACCTACAAACACTATTTCTTTTATAGGCTTTTTACCTCCATTGAGGTAAAATCTATTTCTTTCAAATGGCTTTGATGCAGGCAGAAAGGTGAGTGAACTCAGAGAACTTTCGATGGGTGGATATTTTCATCTGCCCGATGTGTTCTGAAATGGCTCGCTACACAAGGTGGGTTTTGGGGAAAGGTTTGCAATGAGAGGAAGGGAGGAGTCTTGTCATGTGGCAAGTCAAAGCTAGTTTTAATCATGTAGTTGTTTGAGCATGGGAAGAAGGTATAGGAAGTGACGTGGTCAAGACATGAACTAAGGTGACTTAACTATACTTGGGTTAAGTAGAAGAATGGGGCAGAATTGGGGATGTTAAGAGGTTTGGGTAGTTCAGAAATTACATAACTAAAGCTATCTGAGGGGATAGGGAGAATGGATGTTTCTGTGAGGTAAGAGGAGTAATGAGAGAAATGCAAACTTCATAGGTGGCAGTGCTACATCATGAGAGAACAACTGGAAAAAGCAGCTGTAAAAGAAAATATTAACAAAATGTTGGGACAGATGATACTCATTTAGCAAGTACTAATTAATAGCCTCCTGTGTGCCCAGCCTTATTAAAAAACCTGGGCTGGAGACGGGGTGGTTGATCATGGTACAAATAAAACATGATGACATTCTATTCATTCACGACCTGACTACTTCATATACTTTAGTTCAGGAGGACCCTGGTGATTATGTTGACACCACCAGGATAATCCAGGATCAAAGTTTTTAACTTAATCTCATCTTCAAAATCGTGTTTTCTTTCTTTTTTTTTTTTAAAGATTTTTATTGGGGAATTGGGGGGATGGGAACAGTGCTGGGGAATTGGGGGAAGGGGAACCGACAAGTTGCTGTCCTTTTGTTCTTCAATCTAGTTGTGGAGGACGTTGCTTCACTGGCCCAAGTTGGCACCATTATTGTGCTCTTCCCTGGCGAGGCAGATCAGTCTCCGGCTTCTGGACGGCTGCTCACTGCGGCTGCTGGCCGCTCACGCTGGCTGCTGGCTACATACGGTAGCCCATGGAAACCCACTGCCACAGGGGCTGCAGCCCACGCCGTCGCCAGCGACTTACGGCAGCCCAGCTCCAGGTTGAGCTGTTGTTCAGCATCTTAGCTGTAGAGGGCAGTGTCACTGGCCCTCATATGTGGGATCCGAACCGGGGCCCTCTGGCATCCCAAGCGAGTTCTTAACCATCGCGCCACTCGGCCGGCCCAAAATCGTGTTTTCTCTGCAAAGTCTCTTTTGCCATATAAAAGATATTCACAGGTTCTGGGGATTAAGACCCAGACACCTTTTGCTGTTTACCACCGTGGGTTACTTCAGCAGAAAACTATGTTTAGTCATTTGATGTTGATTTATAGTAGGGAGAGAAGTATCTTTGTTTTAGGCTCGCTGGATTATCTGCAATAGAATTTGTAGCCCTTCCATAATCATTGTCCAACCATAGTCTGACTTTGGTTGGACATAGAGGCAGTAGGAGGTAGGAGAGGAGGAGCTCACAAAGGAAGTTGAGGAATGGGGAGAGAGGGAGGAGGAAAACCGGGTGGGTGAGGGGCCATGAAAGCCAAGGGAACAGAGTAGTTCTGGGAGGGAGGAAGATTTACAACTATCAAATGCTTCTGAGAGACCAGAGTAAGATGAGGACTAAAGGCATCTGTTAGGTTTAGTGGCCTTTGCCATAGCTATTTTTGTGGAGTGATGGCAAGTGGGAAGGACATTGAGCATGCAATTCATTCAAGAATTTTCAGTTTTTCTATGAGGAGTAAACAATAGAATGGAGTGGAGAAAGGTTTTTTTATTCCCTTTACTGTTGAGACAGACTTGAGTTTACTCAAGTGATGATGGAAAGGAGCCAGTGGAGAGGGTGAGGTTTATGACACAGAAGAGACTGAATTCTCATGGTTTCACTAACCTGGTTCCCAGATATGTGGTTCTGATAGACCTTTCTCCCAAGTTCCGGACCTGTATAACCCAGCTCTCCATTGAACATGGTCCAGTATCAAGTAATCCTCTGAAGTGATGGTTGCCAGAGGGGAGGGGGTTGGGGGGCAGGGTGAAAAAGTTCACGGGATTAACAAATACAAATTGGCAATTACAAAATAGTCATGGGGATGTAAAGTACAGCATGGGGAATATAGTCAGTAATATGGTAATAACTATGTAGTGCCAGGTGGGTACTAGACTGGGGGTATCACTTCTTAGATCACTTCTAAATTATGTAAATGTCTGACCACTATGCTGTACACCTGAAACTAATATAAAATAATATTAAATGTCAACTGTAATTGAAATTTTTTTCTTTAGCCTTGACCCCTATTTAACCTTAAAACTACAGTTCCCAGTTATACAACTTACAGAAATCAGATTAATGAATGACACTTGAGTGCTTCCAATGTAAACTAGATATAGGCCATATTAAATAAAAAAGTTGAATGGTTATGTCCCCAATCCATATGGAATGCTGAATTCACCCAATCCTGGCCTATCATATCCACCTCAACAAACAACAATATATGGTATATGAGAAGAGGACTTTTTACTGGGAAGGGTTAAAGAAATTTTGTTTTTTAAAGATTTTATTAGGGCATTGGGGGAGGGGAACAGTGTTGGGGAATCAGGGAAGGGAAACAAACAAGTTGCTGTCCTTTTGTTCTTCAGTCTAGTTGTGGAGGACGTCGCTTCACTAGCCCATGTAGGTATTATGAGCATTGTGCTCTTCCCGGATGAGACAGATCGGTCGCCGGTTACTGGACAGCCTCGGTGCTCACGGCGGCTCTTGACAGCTTATGCCGGGTGCCAGCCACTCACAGTAGCTCACGGCAGTCCACTGCAGCTTCACTGCAACCTACGCCGTCGCCGGCGACTCACAGCAGCCCAGCTCCAGGTTGAGCTGCCGTTCAGCATCTTAGCTGTAGAGGGCAGTGTCACTGGCCCTAATATGTGGGATCTGAACTGGGG